CCGTTCTCCTTAAGGTCCAAATCCGTCTGCTGCACAAGGCGGGACGGGAGGCCACTGGTTGTGGCCCTGCAGCCCGCGATGGGCTCCCCCAGGCACCTTCGTGGGAGATGCAGCATCCTCGGTGGCTCAAGGCCCTGCAGAACAGCACCCCGCAGCCCCTCCATACCCCGGAGCTGAGACAGGGATGTCAGACCAGGGCCATGAGCAAATTCCCACCAGCTACCTCGTGGCTTTATTTTCTTGGCTTTTCTCTGTTTCCTCTTCTCCATCCCTCCTCTGAATTTCCATGGCTTATTCTGTTTCCGGCCTCATTTTCCCTTGGAAATGAGAAGCCCTCCCTCCATCCCGACATTCTCCTTTTGCCACCTCCCCTGTCCTCACTCCCAGCTCCCACCTCCTCTCCTCACTGTCCCGGACACTTCTCTGCCCTCCTCCTCTTGTCCCCATCTGTCTTTGCTGCACTTCTCCCTGCCCTGGCCCAGGCAATGACTCGGATCCGTCCCGTTTGGCTCTCCAAGGCATCGTGCAGGAGAGAGGGATCAAAGCCCTCCCGGCAGGGGCAGCCAGAGGGGGGAATTCGGCTCAGCCCCCTTTCCAGGCTGTGCCCGTTCTCTCCCTGGCATTCCGCTGCCTCCATGAGATTTCCCACTCGGCAGAGCGCCTACCCCAGCACTCAGGGAGCAGACCCGGGACACGGAGCCGGCTCCTCAGGCCCCGGGAGGACGGGAAGCTCTCGGAGCGCTCCGTGGCCCCACTATATCCCTGAGGATGCGGGTGGCAGGGACGGAGCACATCACGGCCAGCCCAGGCAGCTCTGCTGCTGCTCACGGGATGGAGCTGCCCCTGGAGCAGACAGAAAGGTCAGGAATCCCCAGCGGGACAAACCCCAGCGCGACATCCCTGCTGGATCTTGCCTGGCCATAACACACGGGTCACATTCATCATCCAGGCCAGGGCTCTGATCGTGAGACTCCTCAGTGAACCTGCTGCGGGTGACAAGGTTCTTGTCCCAGCCTCCCCTCCCGCTCCCTGGCTGGGAGATCCTGCCCCAGAGCAGCGTCTGCAGGTCCCACGTGGGTGAAATCTCCCTTAGGGGCACCAAATAGGTCCAACGGGTTCGCACGAGGAGCACGAGGCCCTTTCTGCCACAGCACACACACAACAGACACTCAAAACCCATGTGCGCAGCTGAAACAAGGGAGAGTGGAAAAACGTCCCTGCAAGCCCAAGGGTCCACAAGACATGTCTAGAGACTGTCAGCTCCCACATGGCACAAAGAAGGAATGACAGCGTTTTCCAGGCAGCTAGCGTGCTCTGCGAGCGCGGGTTTGGCCTGGACACAGGCAGCCTTTCAGAGCAGAAGAGGTGTGGACAAGCTCTACCCCAAGCAATAACCGAGCAGCACGCGAAAGCAGCAGCAGGCAGAGCCCCCGGCTTGCACTGAGGGCTCGGACAGGGCGCTGTGGTTATTGCAGGCCCAGCTGGACCGGCTACTAAATCACATTCATTTTATCCCCTGTCTGGATTTGAAACAGCTTCCTGCAAATCTCTTCGTGACTCAGTGTCTTGGCATGGCAAACGCATACTCGAGAGGTTAGCTTTTGAAATCCACCAGGGACGTTGCACCTTCCTAAAATAAAGAGTGGGCAAAATATTTTCAACCTCCTTCCAAAAAATGCACAGAAAAGTCGCTCCTTAATAACTGTACGTTGTTGGGTCTCAGCTGGCTTTGGGCTGGGGTAGATTTTCCTATTTATAATCACGCAGCCATTCGCTGACTGAATAGCTCTATTTATTATTTGCCATGTTTACTAAACGCCTGAAATACCTTCTCTACCTGTAATTGTGGTGCAACTTATTTTTTTTTTCAGCTCCGTTCATTCAAGTGGGTTGCGGTACTGCGGGGCTTTGATCTGTGGCTTTCTAAGGGTATTCATAGTCTCAGGGTATGAAGCTTTGGACTCAAGTGACCCTGAACTGCAGCAGACCTGCAAAGAGCCACTTGGAAAAAAAAAACGAGGCATTTTTAAATGAATTTGTGCATGGGCACTCAGGGCTTTAACAGACTCCATTTACCTCCCCAGAGAGCAGGCCCTCCTGAATGCGTTTGTCCCGTTTATGTTGAAGTTTGTCTTTTTCCCTCTTCTTTACTCATATTTCTCAAATCTTTCATGCTGTCCCACATACGTGAGTCCTGGGGCTTGCGAGAGGAGAGGCCTCAAAACTCAGCTCAGCGGTGGCTTGTTGGACTCTGGAAATCTGACACAAGGAGGAACTTATGCAGCAAACTCCCCCAGGCATGCTGAAAATCATCATTCCCTCGATGCGAAGACAGAACAGAGAGTTCTAGAAAATTTGGCCCTGACAAACACCTTCAATTCACCTCCAAGGCAGACCATGAGCCTTGGCAAAATGCCCTGCAGGCCCTTGCTGGCCCTCCCTTGTCCTCTGTGTCACAAGGTGATGGGTCTCTCCATAGCACCCCACTTTGCTGAGCATCACCATTTGCTCCCCACACTGATCACTCCCCCAGCACACCTCCTGCCAGTGCTTCCACACCCAAACACCCCCATTCAAAGCAATTTAAACATTGCTATTACAATTCCCTACAACCTACCGGACTCATCCTAAAAGGCTGCTATTTTCTGGAGAGCTTCACTGACCAGGAGAAACTCTTTTTGCCCTAGGCCTGGCCAGCATCTTCCACAACTGAGCGACTCCTGAACTCTACATGGTGAGCAGGGATGGAGGCAGACAAGGCTAGGGTTGGTTTGGGGACCTTTTCTTCTCTGTTAATTAAACAAACTGGTTGCTGAGGGTTTCCATTTCAGATGGCGCTATGTCGAAGTCAAAAATCTGTTCCACAAGATATGTGCAGCAGGCAGTGCCCTGTGCAAGTCACGGGGACTGAACCCATCTCAGCTGCCTTTTCACAAGGCCTGGAAGTCATCCCTGGAAGTCATCCCTGGAAGTTATCCCTGGAAGTCGGTCCTGGAAGTCTCTTGCCCGAGACTTTGTCAGCTCTGTGGGCTCAGTCCTCACAACCATTTCCCTGTCCTGGGCTACCACCTCCCCAGGAAACTCACTCGAGTGCTTTGCTGCCCTGGGACGCTGTTCTTACCTGCTCCTTCCTCTCCTGTTAAGAAAACTGGGTCTCCCCACCAGCGTTGTGGCTGATCCTGCCTTGTGCCACTTTCCAAGGGGCATTTCAGAGCACAGGAGTCTTGCTGGAACGTTGTCCTGGCTCCGAGGCCTGCGGCCCTCACACGGATCCTGCATCCACATTTACCCTGAGCATCAATGATCATTTGTGCAGGGGGAGGTCACTCTTTAAAGTGACTAGCCAAGCCTGTCTTTCATTTAGTGGAGCTGTAAAACTGCCACCTGGCCAGTGGCTTTACTGCTGTGGATGATGCCGGTGTCAAAGCAGTTTGGTGCTGGAGCCAGCTGGAGCACAGCCAGTTTTATATTTAATCTTGCCTATAAATACAAACAAAGGTTCTGTATTTTGAGTGAGTGACAGACACATCATGGACATTATTAAACCTTCCAAAAATAAACCTCTGCCAAAGTGAAGGGAGCCAGATTTTTCCTGGAAAGTATCAGCATGGGGAAGCAGGGAGCAGTAACAGCAGCCCCTCTGCTGTGCAGCCTCCAACCAGCGGTTCTCCACGTACTGCAGATGCTTCATCTCTTCTTGGGGATTGCTTGTTTTAGCCCCAAAAATGCCTGGGCAGCTCCTCAGAGCCGCTTTGTGTGCACCCAACAGTAAATCAGCCCTGGGTGTGCTCTGGGGGCAAGGACGCTACCCTCAGGGCCCAGCCAGATTTAGTGGATGGTGCTGTGGTCACCACTGTCCCTTCTGCCACCTGCCTGTCCCCTGCCCTGCAGGTGGCTGGTCTCTATAAGGGGGCAGAATGGGTCACAAATCCGCTCCTGGGACGCTACATTTCACAGTTGCCGTGTTAACTAAAACCACCATTGATTTCAGCGCGAGTGTTAATGCACTTCACGCAGAACTTCACCCTTTCTGTCAGCCTTGGAGGGTGCTAATCCCTAGCACTGAGCACAGCCAGCACTGTGTGCACGTGTGAGTGTCCTGCAGTATTTGGTGGCTTCTCTTTATGTTCTTGCAGAAATTGTACAACGATGCCACAGTCCCAGCCCTTCCTTTCTCCATTTTCTCCTTCCCCAAAACAGCACTTTTAGCATTCCTTGCTTCATGGAAAAGATCCAAAACATACATCCTACGAAACAGCCAAGCAGCAAATTCAAGTATTTGAATCACGTATCAATCTGTATTGCAAATGCCCTGTGATCACAAAGCTGATTTCCAGATTTTCACGAGTCTCAGCTGCACCACCGTGCACTTCAAACTTGCCAAACTGCAGGAGAACACCTCAAAGCCAAGGCTCTCTCTTGGATACAACCTCTGGGCACCGCGTATGGGAGGACAGATCACCCTCATGAAGGTGGCAGGACTTCCACAGACGCCACCAGCCTGTGTGTAGAGCAGCGATGCCTGCTCCATCTCCCAGACACGGCTGTGGCCTCAACCCAACCTAGTTCTGCTCTCCCTGGTCCCCAGGTGCAGCTTCCCTGGCCAGTTTGAGTCTGTTTGGCTCCTGGACATGGCTCCTCCATTTGATGCATCTGGATATAGCACCTGGGCACAGTTTCTCCGGCCTCTCCTGGTTCCCAGTTTGGTTCCTGGGCACGGCTCCTCCACCTGGTCCAATTTGATTCTTGGTTCAGTCCCCTCAGTCCTCTTTGGCCCCACTTTGGCTCCCTTAGCCTCGCTGGTTTGATTCCTGGGTGCAGCTCTCCCTGTCCTGCTCAGTTTGGCTCCCGGGAGCATTTTCCCTGAGCTTGTTCAATTCCAGGTTTATCCGGATAATGCTCCTCTGCACCGGCTCAGTTCCTGGGTGGCTCCCTTAGCCTGGCCCAGTTCAGACCTGGGTACAGCCTGGCTTTTGGGCCACAGCTCAGCTTCCCTTCCCCAGCTTTGAGCAGCGATGCCTGCTCCACCTCCCAGACACGGCTGTGGCCTCAACCCAACCTAGTTCTGCTCTCCCTGGTCCCCAGGTGCAGCTTCCCTGGCCAGTTTGAGTCTGTTTGGCTCCTGGACATGGCTCCTCCATTTGATGCATCTGGATATAGCACCTGGGCACAGTTTCTCCGGCCTCTCCTGGTTCCCAGTTTGGTTCCTGGGCACGGCTCCTCCACCTGGTCCAATTTGATTCTTGGTTCAGTCCCCTCAGTCCTCTTTGGCCCCACTTTGGCTCCCTTAGCCTCGCTGGTTTGATTCCTGGGTGCAGCTCTCCCTGTCCTGCTCAGTTTGGCTCCCGGGATCATTTTCCCTAAGCTTGTTCAATTCCAGGTTTATCCGGATAATGCTCCTCTGCACCGGCTCAGTTCCTGGGTGGCCCCCTTAGCCTGGCCCAGTTCAGACCTGGGTACAGCCTGGCTTTTGGGCCACAGCTCAGCTTCCCTTCCCCCACCTTTTTCGGCTCAGCTGCCCTGGCCCACTTCAGTTCGGTTCCTGCTTCCCGCTGCAGCTTGGTCCAGCTCCGGGCCCGCCTGTCCTGACGGGCTCTGATTCGGCTCCCTCGGTCCAGTTCAGGTCCCAGCTTGGCTCAGTACCCAGCTCAGCTGACAGTTCAGATCCCCCAGGCCCATTTGGCTGCTGGTTTGGGTCAGTGTCTGGTTTGGTTCCTGATGCAGCTCCTGGTTGGCTCCCCTGCCCCGGTTCAATTCCTGGTTCGGTTCCCCCAGGCTGGGTCAGCCACATTCAGCTCTCCCGGCCCGGTTTGGTTCTCACAGTCAATTCCTGGTTGGGCTTTCCAGGCCCAGTTCAGCTCCTGATTTGGCTCCCCTGGCTCAGTCTGGACCCAGTCAGCTCCACCACCCTGGTTTGGGGCTTGATTCAGTTCCCGATTCCATTCCCCAGCCTGGTTTGGTTCCCAATTCAGCTCCCTTGGCCCAGGTCAGTTCCTGGTTCAGTTTCCCTGGCTCAGGTCGGTTCCTAGTTCGGCTCCTCCACCTGGTACAGTTCCAGGTTCGGCTCCCCTGGCCTGGTTTGGTTCCAGGTTCAGCTTCTCTGTCCCAGTTTGGTTCCTGGTTCAGCTCCCCCAGCCCGGTTTGGGGCTTAATCCAGTTCTCGGTTTCATTCCTAGTTCGGCTCCGCCGGCCTGAATTGCTCCTGGTTCGGCTCTCCCGGCCTAGATTGCTCCAAGTTTGGCTCCCCGGCCCAGATCCGTTCCCGGTTCGGCTCCCCCGGCCCGGATCGCTCCCGGTTCATCCTCCAGTCCGGATCGCTCCCGGTTCGGCTCCCCAGCCCGGTTC